TCAACAATAAGTACAAGATGATGAATGTCTCTCAATGGAGAGCAAGTATTGGACTGTGGAACTACTGTCAAGCTGCCTCCAGTAGACCAGCTAATTGCACCAACTCTCACTCATTCAAAGCTGCAGTAGACACCAAGTCAGGCAGTACTACATCAGGAGAGAAGACATCTAAACTGCCAGCAGCTCTGTCTCTTATTGCTTTACTCCTCCTCCTCTTTCTCTCTCTCTCTTTATTAAGACACATCTTGATGATTCCTCCAACAGGTAAACATCAATTGCAACTTTGTACTTGTATATTTACTGGTATTTTATTATTAGGTAACTGCTATCAAGTACAATGTACTACTGGTGTTACTGTTACTGATACAAATTACCTCCAGTCAGTAGTCTTACCTGGCGGCAGCAGTTCTAACCTGATTTACAATGATCTCTATTTGATTGTTTGTCTACGTATGCTCCTCCTCTTATCAGGAGATGTTGAACTCAATCCTGGTCCTATGATTGATGATCGACCTGATATTTCATTATTAATCCAATGGCTTGAACCACTTGTTGACTGGCAATCATTTGGTTACTGCTTACCAGGAATAACACAACATGATGTATTAATTATTGAAGCTGAGAGTTCCAGTGTGAACGACCAAAAGAGGAAATTGTATTCAAAATGGCTCTCTGTTTCTCCTGAGGCAACTTGGAATGATGTCATTACTGCATTGACCATTAGAAGAGAAAACACTCTTGCACAAAATATCAAAGAAATGATTGAAGGACATCCTTCAGTACCTAACATTAGTAATGGAGCTGCTGTGGGCACAACACGACAACAAGAAATTAAGTTTAGCACTAAAGAAGATGAAGAAGAAGTGTCGTGTTCATTGACAGAACTCAACAAATCATTTACTAGTTTAATGACGAAGGTACGAACAGCATTTGATAAAAAAGTAGCCTCAGATTCTAAGCTACTCACTGATATAACAAGATGGATTGAGACTTACATGAACTGGAATGATAAGCTAACAAATGCATCATTAAATGAAACTTTTAAAATTATTTATCCATACTATGATTTCATTGAATGCAGTCTGATAGTGGACATGACTGAAGTCTTTCTTAAAAATTTTGAATTTGATGATAATAATATGATGAATATTGCCAGTGAATTAAAGGATTACAAGGAAAAAGCAGACAAACTTCGTTTTTCAGCTCAAGTGAAACATCTTAATGACTCATTGAAAACAATATATGAAGAACATATACCAGATACATCAAATATGCCAATGATTTTAATGAAGCTTTATAACCCATGGCGTAGTAGCAACATCCATGGACTCTCTTTACTGATCCACAGCTTACTTCCAGTTGGATACCAGCAGTCAATAATGAAATATATTACAATAACTTCTGGTATAATCATGTTATTATTAATAATTACATTAAATATATCATAGGTGCTGCTACTAGTACTGTACCAGTAGTATCATCATTAATTTCAAAACCTACATCAGGTAAACATACACTTAAAGCCCAACATACATGGGGCAACATGTTGAATGCAACATCAATCAAACAAGCGTAACAGTGTAAAAAATATTCCTATAATTGATTTCACCACCTTGCAAGTACAACTTGGTCATTATTAAGACTTATAGAGGTTCTCTCTACCTTATAATGTTTCTAGAGAAGTCTTTAGACAGTATTTCTATGCTCTCTTGCTGTTAGAAAGGTCTTAACTTTGTCCCGTGTGAACCGCCATTTTGTTTGCTGTGGCCACACCCACTCACGTAAAGGAGCGTGGGCGGGTGGTTGCGATACGTAATATATAGAACATGACCCCGAGTGGTGTATCAGATATACACGAAAATGATATTCATAATCCCGAGGGCGTAGCCCGAGGGATTATGAATATCATTTGAGTGTATATCTGATACACCCACGAGGAAAAGGTCATGTTCTATATTGTTTGTATTAAGGGAAGCCATAAGAAGGAAAGGTTATGCGCATGCTCAGTAGCACGTGGTACAACTGTAAGGGACCAATATGGCTGAAGGAGAAGGAGAACCACGAGAAAAAGCAGCAAAAGAAGCGAATGAAAATGTGTAAAGCGCTCAATAAAGGTTAGCCTTCATTAGTGCTGAGGAAATGGAAGAAATTAGTACAGGTTTTGAACCCTTGGACACTAATAGAGATATGAAGGTACTTACTCAACGGCGGTGTGGTGGTAAAAATGTTACTAACAGTAAAGAATACTCTTTAGATGTTTCTAG